TTTATTTTTTACATTGCTTGTAGGCGAAAGAGGTTATATCCCTGAGCGGCACAGTGGAAAAACAATTATTATCAAATGTACCACATCATCAATATCGTATGAAAAATGACAAGAATGCAAGCACTAAGAGCATTTAATTTTGTTTGTTGCTTGGGACACTCGAATACGCATTTGTGCTTTAGTTTTAGTCGGTCGTCCATCACAAAACACGCGAGGTTGTTTACCAAAGTAAAAGGCTTAGCAGAAGATAGCCAGTGTTATAGTCTTAACTTGATCAGGTATTGCAAACTCTGCTAGACCTGCACACATAGCTGTATGCTTAAACGTTAGTAATAATTGAACTTATTTACTGTCTAGCGTCTTCGCTAGCATCTCAGGAGGGTATCTGGCACCACAAGGGCTGTGATGAACATTATTTTCAGTTACTGAGTAAGGGACGTTTAATATAGCCCCATCTAGTTAACATACAGCTGTACACGGCCCGTGTAACGGCGATGCACTGCTGTGTGACCCAGTGGTCAAAGGTTATTAGAGCCTGTAAGTGAGGGCTTTATGTTGACAAATGTGTATGTTACCAGCATCATGTGTGAGGATGAAGACTGTACAGACCAAAGAATTGTTTGGACTAATTTAATAAATGGCTGCGTTTCTGTTTTGGAGGTGTGGGTCCTACAAAGCTGTATAAATCAACCATGTCAAAGGCCGTCATCGATAATGGATTACTGAGGCTACCTACTGTATGACTGCACCGTGGATAACTGGAGAGTGCCAGAGCCTGAGAAACTGGCAACACGTTAGCTGAGCATGTAGAGCAGATTAATGACTTTGAAAACGAGAATGGTCCAAATCATTTTTCAGATTGGGTTTAAAAACATTGCATTTTATTTTCATTTTCTTTGCAAAACAAGTGGTGAACATGTAAAAGTGAAAAATGTCACGTGTAATGCAATGTTCAATTGATTGGAATTGATTAACATTATCATTTTGAAATATAGTCCCCCTAGTATAGGCTTCCTATAGTGGGGATGCCTGAAGGAGAAGGGGGGTGCGGTATTGTCCTTGTCAGTTGGATGGTTTCAAAATTTGGTAGTACTAATGAGCTCGCAATGTAGACCTATTCCAGATTAAAGCATCTAACATATGTATTACCGCGTGAGAATCTTGCAAATCTCATCTTGCAGGGATTAGGTGAAAATTTCAACTCTAACACGTCATACAAATCTATTGTAATCAACACCGGTGATAAAAGCTGTGATTCACAGCTTTTGTATATAAGATACTCGGCTGTATGCCAAAAATTCTGCAACACTTGAGCACTTATAATTCTAGCTACAATTTACAGAAAAAAGTTGCAACAGGATGAGCAGTAATTTATAGATGACTTAGATAGGTTTCTTGCTTCATGGAGAGTGGGTCACAACCCTGTTCAGCTGTTTGAAGAGAACTTCCTGTGTTGTCAAATGTATGTGCTCGCCCCATTGCTGGTAAGGTATGGTATGTTCGAACTGAGCTCTTTAACTGGACTTATCCATAACTCGACATCACATGTATTTGTGCTACAAACGCAACCATAACTACACTAGGCCCAATCAGCCCACTGTGGAGGGGGCTCTGTGAAACACAAAAACAGATCTGAATCGAGAGATGATCATCTAGACAGGATGAACAAAGACTGCGACATGGATGTCTATGAACACAAATGATGTATAACGTGTATAGTGCATCGGTGCTTCATTGCACGTATGATATATTGTACTCTTTCAAAGGTCTTTACAGTCTCTTGGTCTTCTTCTTGATATTTTTTTTTCCTCTGCCTTGCTTCGTTGCCTTGCTTATTGCCTCCACAGTTAAGCAAATGGCTATCTGCTATAAATAGGAGAGGAAGTGACTGGAGAGCTCTCCAACCTCCTCCCCTTTTGTTTTCTGTTGCCTTTTTCCACAGAAGTTGCTAAGTAACAATGCACAGTAAAAATACGATATGCCCCGTTTTTCTTACGCACTGTTAAACTGAGTTAATAAAAGTTTGTGTTACTGCTTTCATTCTGCGAAACATTTACTGATACCTTTAGCCTTACACTAAGCGGTTTGTGTTTGCACAATATTTGTAAAGATCGTGAAGGATAATATGCATGTTCATTTCCTCCAAAAGCTTTCTTTTTATTTTTGCATGGTCTCTCTGTTCCCAGCTCTGATGTTGGGCCTAATTGAACTCAGCCTATGACAAAATTGAACCTACATAGAGAAGCCTGTTGATGTATTGCTGATAAGAGATAGAGTGTATTTGTTCAGACACTGAATTGAAGTAAAATTATTTTGGAGATTCTAACTTAGATATCTTAATATCTCATATTTCTAAAAAAAAATGTTATTAAAGCACTTCAACTTCAATGGAAATCGTAAACTAAAAAAATGTATTTAAGTCATGGATATTTACCACTAACCAGCAACCCACCCATTCTCTTGGACGCAGTGATGATTGGCCCCCCCCGAGCTTTGTGCCCCTGCTGGGAGGGCCTCCTTTATTTTCTGGAAGGTGGCAAGCGCTAGTTACATACAAGCTGCAACCTATCCTTAATTAGTGAAGCGTTGTTGGGTCCCCTGTGT